CCCTGATTCTCAAGCACAAGGTCCCAAGTTCGATTCCCTGTACCAAAAAAAAAAAAAGCAAGCTTCCAGTGACCTACTTCCTCCAACCAGGCTCCACCTACTACCAGCACATTCAGCTATGAATTCACCAGTGGATTGATCCATGATAAGGTGAGTGGTTTCATGATCCAATCACCTGAAAACTCCAGCTCTAAACACAAGATTTTGGAGGACATTTTAGATCTAAACCATATAAATCAACAATGAAGCCAGGTGTGGTGGCATATGCCTGTAATCTCAGCACTCGGGAGGCTGAGGCAGGAGGATTGCCATAAGCTCAAGGCCAGCCTGGGGTACATAGTGAGTTCAGGGCCAGTCTGAACTACAAAGCAAGACCCTGTCTCAAAAAAATAAAATAAAAACAACAATGAGAAAACAACATGCTTCGAAAATGGGCCAAAGGTCTTAGAAGGTACTTCAAACAGAAGTTGGCAAATAAATATATGAGAAAATGTTCCAAAGTCATCAAGATACTGCAAATTAGAACAATGTGAGAAACTACTACATATCTATTAAAATAGCCAAAAGCCAGAACAGTGACATCACCAAATGCTGATGAGAACATCAGGCAACAGGAACTCTTCATGTATTGCTGGTGGGGATGCAAAACAGTACAGCCACTTTAAAAGACAGTGGGTTGGTTTCTTACCAAAGTAAGCATGCTTTCACCATATTGATCCAGTAGGTCTGCTCCTTGGTATTTAACCTATTTAACCAAAGCAGTTAAAAATATATCCACAAGAGCCTGCACATGGATGTTTACAGCAGCTTTGTTCATAATTATCAAAGTATAAAGGCAGCAAAGATGCCCTTCAGTAGGCAAGTGGATAAGTAAACTGAAGCAGAGCCAAACAATGTGATATGATGCAGTGCTAAAAAAGAAACAAGCTACCAAGCCATGAAAAGACATGGAAGAAACCCAAAGACATATTACTAAGTGAAAGAAACCAATGTAAAAAGGAAGTATACTGTATGCTTCCAACTATGTGACATTCTGGAAAAGGCAAAACTATGGAGATAGTAAAACAATCAGTGGTTGCCAGAGTTAGGGAGGAAGATATGATTAATAGGGTAGATGATGTTTAGGAGTGTGTCATCTTTCTATTATACTACAATAGTGGATAAATGTCATTATAAATTAATCTTAGGGCCAGGGATTTAGCTCAGTGGTTTCACTGCCTGCTGCGCAAGTGCAAGGACCGGAGTTCAATCCCCGGTACCAAAAAGAAACCCCAAAAAACAACAAAAAAAATAAATTAATCTTAATCTTGGGTCTCATGACATGAGAAGTTTCCTCTGCCATGCCTCTCTGCCATTCTATTTCTTTTTTGGAGCCTGCCAACCTTGGAGTGAAATACGAGAGAAAATAAACCTCATTTTCTTTAAGCTGCAGGTATCAGGTATTGTGTCTCAGCAACAAGAAAGTGACTAAGACATTTGGGAACTACCTTAGTTACTTTTCTGATTACTGAGACAAAATACCTGAAACACAAAGTTAAAGGAGGAAAGGTTTATTTATCTCACAGTCTGTAGAGGTTTCAGTCCATAGTCAGCTGGCTCTAAGGCAGGGTGGCATGGCAGACAGGTATCACAGAGGAGAAAGAGTTCATGGCAGGCAGAAGGTAGCAAAGCAAGCAAGCCACAAGCAATAAGACACTTTCTGTCCCTTCTGTCTTATCCAAGCTACCTGCCCTTAGGGTGGGTAACATTCACACACTTTATCCTAGCACCCTTAATCCTAGCATTGCACTATGAATCAGTCCCAGCATGACATCCTTGATCCCAGTAGAACTATGCCAAACCAATCAGTGGAGTAACTTAGTAATCACACACTCTACTTCCAGCCACCTCTATAAACCCCCACCTATGACTGCATGAGGCTTGGGGCGGGGGGGATCTAG